GGTGGTTGGTCCAATCGGGGCCCCGTAGTAACCGGTGGTTTAAGGATACTCCTCTGAACCTTGCGGCGCAGTCTAGAACTATCCTTAGTTTTGCTGGTTTCTTAGGGTTGACGACAGCGTGGTGTGGCAAATACCATCTTGGTGAAAACTCTGGTGCCAACTGTTCAGTGGGGACGGGGGTCATATACCCCTTGTTTCCGTTTCTTTGCATGACTTCTTAAAACCTTTTATAGAAAGCCTTATCGCGCTGAAACCTTCGACCGAGTACGTAAAGCCTCCGGGCGGCTACTTCAAAGTTGTTGGGCATAGTCTCAGCGATTGTCTCCCAATTGATAATGACCATCAACTAGTGTCAAGGACCGTTCTGCAATCGATAGTGCCTGCTGGTCCTTCAATGATGGTGCTCGCTTAGTAGACTCATTGTCATCACACAGCCTTCGAAGCTGTTCTGAGATGGTGCTTTTTACCTTTATCAGGTTGTTCACTGTGGACTCCCGGTTGTTGGATGGCCCTAGAGGTTCCGGGATCATCCACCTCAATTGAGTTTTGACCGCGTAATGTTCGCATCGCTGCTCCAAAACCCTATCAGTACTCCTACCCTAACCTCTCCAGTGCATTCCACGGGAACATCGCTAAGGTGTGTCCATCGACCCTTGACTGACCGCAAGTCCATACGCGGGGATCTAGAGAATAGCCGGTTGGCACAAAAGGCACGCTCCACTGAAACGTTGGTTGAATCATCCGGGGATGCCACACAAAGATTCACGATCCAAGATTCTATCTTGGAGCGTCCACCCACTGTTCTGATAGTCACACAGGACGACATCTGAGACAGGCCAACCTGTTCCACCAGACCATTTTCTATTAGACTTACGTGGGAACCATTATCTATGAGTGCGTATGTTAGTACGGTCCATTTAGGTCTACTGATTTTCACTGGGATAATGCCAAGTGCCAAGTGGTGCATTTTGGATTGTGTTACGCGTATCTCAACGACTGCTAGGAGTCCGTTACACCCGACACTATTTGACAATGAATCGTTGCGAGTATCGACTGTGTTATCAGTGGGAGCATTATGGGTGGATAGATGGGGCAAAGAGAGGTGGTTGAGGACAGAATACAAAGGTTGAATAAAAGAGACGGAACTCTGAGCAGTAGCCCACTTTTTAATACCCATCCCGCTCGATGCAATGGGCAGCGCGGTCCTGATTATCCTGCGCGAAAATCGATGCAGCAAGGAATTCTTTGTATTCGTGCAGTTCATGGGAGATGTTGCACTGGTACTGCTAGGTTGTCCAGCAACAAAGCAGGAGAACGATTAGGGTTCTCATCCAAAGCCCTCAGTTCTAACAAGAACCTATCCGCAAGGCAGCGGGATGGCTGAGTGCAAGCCCATTTGTTTGGATCAGTTATTCTTTCACTTATTTTTCCGATTGAGTTGCCAGCTCAAATCAACCCCCAACCTGGAGGACCAGGAGAATGAACTTTGTCTGGCATCTACCCATTGACCTGTCAGGTATGATTGCATCTGCGGCCTAAAGAAGCCATTTTGTATAGCTCTGTGGATCATAGAGGCCCGCAAGCTATCACAGCACGTCAAGGTGCACGGTCGTCGCTGTGGAAAGCTGCCAACGAAACAGTTCTTCCCTGGACTGACTGTTAGTCAGTCGACCCGGCACAGGGCGCCGGACATTCGCTTTCGACCTATCACTTTAGTTGGATCAGCTCCGCCACAAGACAGTGAGTAGGACTTCTTCAGCAGAGGCTATTTTAGACGCACGGTCACTGAGGAGCAGTTCGAGATGCGCTTAGGACGAGTAGCCATCTCGGAGCCTGAGGCACCTACCTCCGACCACACTGATGCACTTGGAGGCCCATTCAATGATATATTTATGAGTGTGAGTATTAGGAGACTAGATTCTTAAATAATATAATTCACCATGCAGTTGTACAGCGTTTCCATGGTTTTTAATGGTTTGAACTTCGACACCGCATCACATTACGTAATTATATCGTTGTTTATATTCGGTCCGATAGAGCCTTCAGTCACGAGTACACCAGACTACTACGACCGGGTGTGAGAAAACTTCTTGAACGCAAGTGATACCAGCGGGGGAATTGTGGTTTGTGATACATCGCAAAAGATTGTGCCCTCTGATTAGGTGTGGTACTGGTTAGGGATGAATGGAGCTTCCGTGACAAGCTCGTATGACCCCGGGGTCGTGTATTCATGCTGCGGCAGTAGCTGTCAAGTTTATGCATCGGGTGGCGTGATGAGGATGATGCGCAAAAGCGCATCTGTTGCGGAGTTGAGTTAACTTGTGATGTGTCACATTTTCAGTGAACTGAGTGGTGTTCAAGGTGGCGTGACTCTCTGAGAGTACCGATTCGTGGTTTCCCGCACAGCTATTATAATGAATCACGGTCCGTTAAACCAATGAATGGTCTGCCTTCAAGCATGTGCTCAAAAGGACGGGTTACCAAACAAATTGCTCTTATGTGCACCGTACATTGGTGTTTTTGTTGAATTGATAATAAAGTTAACGACGGCATTTGATTCAGTATAATGTGCTGGACACTGCGTTTGGGTGCAGTCTCTCAGTGTGAGTTCTAAGTTCTCTAAGTTTTCTGTTTCAACCCTGGGCGGCCTATAAGGTGCCACTCTATCTCATATTCTATTCTCAGCCTACTCGTCCTTCATGCCTGTCATTGATTGTTCCTTCATTATAAAGTATGCAGATGATGTGGCGGTTGGGTTACCCCATCCTGATGCATCAGCTACACCTGAACACCAATCCGGTCTCTTAGATTTTGACCACTGGTCCAAGCCCCATGGTCTAACCTTAAATCCCCGTAAATGATCAGATGTCGTCTTTCCTCTTCTCGAAGGCTCTAAGTATGTGAACGTTCTGCAATCCTGTTCAGACATTCACGTAGGAAACATCTCCGTTTGTCGTCAACTATCGGTCAAACATCTTGGGATTACGATCAAACATAATCATTGTTCGACTGAACATGTTGCCTGCGTTTCCACAAAAGTGTGGAGACTAATCTACTACGTTTTACATCTGAAAGCAGTGTCTGTACCCTTTTACATCATTCAACGTTTTGTTCCTGCATGCATACTGCCTCACTCGTTGTATTCTTCTCCCGTCTCCTCCTCTGGCCTACAAGCAAAATACCTCAACTCAATAAAATGGTCCCTCAAGCACTCATCTTACGCAAGTGGTATAACCTCGTAATGATCTCACAGACTCCACTATATCCCAATACCAATAAATGTGCAAAAGACACGCCGAAAGAATTTTGACTGACTCGCTTCCCCCACTTCACAGGTACCTCAGCATGTGTGCTTCCGCGTCTTCCACCCGCAATAATTATGAAGTGATTTATGCACGCACGACTGTCTACCGGTATTCGGTTTTTTCTTACCTTGCTCGCTTCTTATATAATCCTGCAAACAGCGACACCGACAAAGTTTAGTCACTGTATTTTTTGTAGTTGTAAATGCTGCTTCCTTTTTTGTGTAACTCCTGTGAACATGGCTATGTATTTCTGAATATTAACCCTTCGTAGTGTAGGACACAAAAACTCGACTTGCGATTTCGTGAGTTTGGCTTCTCGTCATTGTGTGAGTTCCTCTCGGTTGGTCTTGTTTGACCGACCGTGTTCGTTTGATATTGGGTTTTAGACCCGTGGTGGTCGAGTAGTTTTGACCGTTTGATTATCACATTAGGGGTCAGAGGTTCGAACCCCGTTACCACTGGTCACCACTTCATCCGGCTCGTTACCACACTCGACCTATTCGGACCTTGTGTAGCTCTCCACTTCAAGCCTCAGGGTTTGGCTTTTTTATTACATGCTTGCGCATGAGCGCAGTGGACGGGGTATATACCCCATAGCCACGAGGGCCTGCTGCACTATCAAGGATAACCGGTAACCGAACCTTGAGACCTGGAGTGGAGAACCCCATAAGGTCCCAATAGGTCAGGTTGCCGGCTATCCCTGATGGTGCAGTGGATCTTTGTGGCTATGGGGTATACCTCTTCCACTACACTCATAAGCATGCATGTAATAAGAAAAACCTTTCTCCTGATAAAAGCAACCTGAAGAATAGGGCGGCGGAATTTCTATAGTTATATCGGAGTTGAGTGGGACGGTAATGGGCACTACTCCACGAGAAGGCCTCGGATTATTATGACGATGGAGAATAATCGAATTCCAGTAGTTCCAGACAGTATCCAGGGTTCTGAGGTTTAGAGACGCCATGCTGGATTTTGAGTGGCAAATCACACTAAGTGTGATTAGGTTGGGTTTTGTAATGAGCAGGGCGATAATCGATTATATCTCCTATCCATTGTTCTGTGAATTTTGTCATCTAATTTTTGCCAATCTAAATCGACCTGTAAGCATGAATCCCCACAGCGGCAGACTTGCAATGATGATATGTTGGTACACTGTATGAAAATGGAGACACCTAGCACCGCTTTTTAACCTCGTTCAATAAACCAATATACAGCTTATTAGTCCAGTCTTCGAAAAACGTCCATCCAAATGATGACCAGAAGCAACCGACATTTGCAGAAGCGCAGCTATAGTGGGTTAATGGCACAGGCTCTATACGGATATGTGAGAGCGTCATCGCTGGTTGCGTTCCCTACTAAATTCATAATCCAGATGGGCATCGGTACTACTGATCCGAGGCTTTTGTGCAGTATGTTCAATAATCCCAAAATAGAAATTCAAAATTTCCGGTGAGGGCCCGGAATTATTGAACATACTTTACCTAATCACTGTAGGTGATCGATATATTAGAAATCTTGGGGGAAAACGGAACAGATAACGAAAAACAAAGGAGAACTGATGCGACCACAATTCACAAATACTGTGGACAGAAATGTAAGACTCCAAGTGCGCTTCCGGTTACAGACGGTATATAGTCGTGTTACCCAATAAGTTATTAGATTCGTTCCGTGTGAGTTGATGAATGGGAAACTTACTGCGAGACATCAAATAACCGGCATCTTTTGTGCTGGTCCAAGGGACGGGCGGGCAGAGCATCGGTAATTCAGCTGGATGAAAGCTCAGCGGTGGGTAATTCGCATCACGATACCAGTTTAACAGAGCAGGGTGAATCTGCGATGATAGCAATTCGGACAAATATGGAAGAGGATTAGATCAGGCATCGGGAGAGGATACGGACACATGGATCAAACAAAAATTAAGTTATAAATTCGATCAACAAAAAGAGTGCAGATGCTTATAATAGCACAATTTCGCTAACAAACGTTTTAACAACCAGCAGGAACGAATATTCGGCGCGGAACAAAACAAGTATCCGAGGATACAACGTAATTAGATAAAGTAGTAAAGTAAGCCGATCAGAGCTACTTGCGACGATGCAATACCTAATGAGTGCAGCCTACGCTAAACCACATCTTAGTAGAGTAAAAGATGGGACTCGGCAGATAGATGCTGCTACCGTTGTTGATTTCGAACAAGTAGGAATCAGACAGTTGAGCAACGCTTCCTAGAATGCTCCATGGTGAGATGACAACGAATGATAAATCATCCAATGAACAGCAACGATTCTCACGGTGAAACACTTCAAAAATTGAAAACACCGAGAAAGACAAGCAGATTCACCAATCATATGGTAAGCTGAATTGAAATAAATGATTGGATCGAGTGTGAGCTCGTGATTTCCGTGCCCATCCACCTTGGACTAGGTAGAGTAGTTCATTAAAATAGATTGGCAGAAGCGCGCTAACAATTCATCTTTACTCAATAGCATATAACAATAGAACACTCGTAAGACGACAGGGTTTAACTTTTCACAGAATAGAATTTGTGAGCATCTATCCAGCGCGACTCGACGCAGGGAAATCTGACCTTAACCTCGTTGCGCAGTTCTCCCGGATATTCAGTGCATACTTCGAACAGAGCAGGTGCTTCCTCTGATCGTGGGGCAGCACTGTCCGAATGAAACCGCTGCTGTGCCTGTTCCTTGCTTGATGAGGAGACTGTGGTTGTTTGGCGGATTCGAACCGGTTCGTTGCGATTGAATCGGACACGGTCATAGATCAGACTGTACAGAGCCCGACCAACCAAAAAATGTACGGATGCAGGCCAGTCCGGAAATTCCGGATTCTGTATGTCCGAGAGGGAAGGGTAAAGTACGAGCAAAAGTGTGGGGTTACGGAGTTTCGCTGGAAAATAGCCAACACCATGTGTTATACGAAATCTTAACACCATATGTATGTGAAACTGTTTGTGGGAACGGCTCATTTGTCTCGAAAATCAACCAACGAAATAAGGCATCTACCGTGAAGTTTTCCACGCTGCCTTGTAGGAAGACGCGTGGTCAAAAACTTTGGAGATGAAGCCTCCTGAAGCCAATCCCCCCTTCGGCTTGGGCAGCCGAGTAGCATTCAGCTCAAGAGCTTTTCATGGACTTAACCAACAAATGAAATATTTTTTCGTGTTGTGCATGGCACTACGCCTCTGCGCTCCGCACCGAGATAACATCACCATTTGTGTGGGATTGACAGACATTTGAACTTTTATTTGCGCTCTACGCTTTCACATAAAAAATCGCCCAGTGAACAGATATACATCGCACGTACACTTTCCAATTTTTCAATCTGCTCAGACCGAGGAAGAATCAGTAAGCTATGCAATATATCCAGTAAAACGCCGATAGGAATCATGTGTCCATGGAAATTGAACCATTTACAGGATTTTTGTGACTTCCACACAGTTATTGGGCTTGAAAGAGCCACAATATTCAGTTGTCCCGTGCCACCAGAAACTAATACCAGCCAACCAACCAATCAGAATCCAACGCTGTCAAGACGTCGGGGAGCGCCAGATGAGGTGACTGAAATTCTTGACAGAAGTTCATGCTCACGAGAAACAGTGAGAACACAACTGGCTGTGACGAACACCGAAACACTCACGAGCCCCCACATGCCTTTCTCTGCCTCACCAGAATATCCAACTCAGGCGTTGGAATTACCGGTGATAATCAAACATGCGTTGAAGAAAGTGTGATGAATCGCGATGGAAATCCTCACTGACCTCGGAAGAATTACAGGAATTACGAATACGCATTGGCGCATCATTGCTTTTTATATTCATAGAATAATTTAAGAGGACTGTATACAAATTACTACTGTCTATCACCCAGTCAGTACACGCAAGGAGAGGAGAGCCGATGTTGCATCGGAGTGAGAACAACAATTGAGAAAGTGGCGTCCTGTGTGTGTTTTGAAGATGGAGTGTGAAATAATTTTAAACGATTTCGTCAATCTTGTCCAGAGCAGCCCCTGAGCAAGCGTCACACTGACACGAATATAAAGTGTATCCTACTGTAACTCTACTTCTGAACCAAAATTGGTAGGATATCTTTCACCTCAAAACTAGCGGGATTTGCAACATCGAAACTGAAGAATGAGAACTGATGGGTGTGTTTCTGCAGGACTGTTGGTGATTTCCGAACAAACCACGTTTCGCAACTGTTCACGCTGCACACGGAACCTAAGCCAGGGAATCGTGAGGTCGATGGCTGAAATAACTGAACCGAACTGAGAGCCTCTGATTCAACTGTCTGGCGTACAAGTGCGGAAAACATGCTGGTCTATCAACTGATATTTAGCGTCATTTGGTACTCTGATCGGGCACGTGTTACGTATGGCAAACACACGTCTACCGTACCGTGTCCTATTCTCCGGTCCTCCTAGGGAGTGGAAGAGACCACGTGGAGGTCAACAGATGACGTGGCAGCGAGGAATGAGAAAATGTACAGCAGACTTAGGAAAAGTAGGTGCTTCACGCCTTCGTGGTTGGGGTCCAAAAGATCCGTCTACCAGTTGGCTGGAGACACTGAAGGATATGGCAGCGAACCACGAGCAGTGGCGATCGTGTTGTCACTTTCTATCAAATCAGAATGACTGATCGGTGTGCGTTTGTACAGTTAGACTATGTATTCTGTGTGTTGACTACAAGGGCATTCTTTCCTTTTGCCACCCGTGTAGGTCCACTCCCCGCCCATGTTGTTTATTCATACTTTTTAATTCAACGTGCGACATGATGAGAAAGGCAGTGGTCACTGGGGCTTGCCCTACTGTTTAACGATGATGATGATGATGATGATGATGATGATGATGATGATGATTGATGATGATGATGATGATGATGATGATGATGATGATGATGATTGATGATGATGATGATGATTGATGATGATGATGATGATGATGATGATGATGATGATGATGATTGATGATGATGATGATTGATGATGATTGATGATGATTGATGATGATGATGATGATGATGATGATGATGATGATGATGATGATGATGATGATGATGATGATGATGATGATGATGATGATGATGATGATGATGATGATGATGATGATGATGATGATGATGATGATGATGATGATGATGATGATGATGATGATGATGATGATGATGATGATGATGATGATGATGATGATGATGATGATGATGATGATGATGATGATGATGATGATGATGATGATGATGATGATGATGATGATGATGATGATGATGATGATGATGATGATGATGATGATGATGATGATGATGATGATGATGATGATGATGATGATGATGATGATGATGATGATGATGATGATGATGATGATGATGATGATGATGATGATGATGATGATGATGATGATGATGATGATGATGATGATGATGATGATGATGATGATGATGATGATGATGATGATGATGATGATGATGATGATGATGATGATGATGATGATGATGATGATGATGATGATGATGATGATGATGATGATGATGATGATGATGATGATGATGATGATGATGATGATGATGATGATGATGATGATGATGATGATGATGATGATGATGATGATGATGATGATGATGATGATGATGATGATGATGATGATGATGATGATGATGATGATGATGATGATGATGATGATGATGATGATGATGATGATGATGATGATGATGATGATGATGATGATGATGATGATGATGATGATGATGATGATGATGATGATGATGATGATGATGATGATGATGATGATGATGATGATGATGATGATGATGATGATGATGATGATGATGATGATGATGATGATGATGATGATGATGATGATGATGATGATGATGATGATGATGATGATGATGATGATGATGATGATGATGATGATGATGATGATGATGATGATGATGATGATGATGATGATGATGATGATGATGATGATGATGATGATGATGATGATGATGATGATGATGATGATGATGATGATGATGATGATGATGATGATGATGATGATGATGATGATGATGATGATGATGATGATGATGATGATGATGATGATGATGATGATGATGATGATGATGATGATGATGATGATGATGATGATGATGATGATGATGATGATGATGATGATGATGATGATGATGATGATGATGATGATGATGATGATGATGATGATGATGATGATGATGATGATGATGATGATGATGATGATGATGATGATGATGATGATGATGATGATGATGATGATGATGATGATGATGATGATGATGATGATGATGATGATGATGATGATGATGATGATGATGATGATGATGATGATGATGATGATGATGATGATGATGATGATGATGATGATGATGATGATGATGATGATGATGATGATGATGATGATGATGATGATGATGATGATGATGATGATGATGATGATGATGATGATGATGATGATGATGATGATGATGATGATGATGATGATGATGATGATGATGATGATGATGATGATGATGATGATGATGATGATGATGATGATGATGATGATGATGATGATGATGATGATGATGATGATGATGATGATGATGATGATGATGATGATGATGATGATGATGATGATGATGATGATGATGATGATGATGATGATGATGATGATGATGATGATGATGATGATGATGATGATGATGATGATGATGATGATGATGATGATGATGATGATGATGATGATGATGATGATGATGATGATGATGATGATGATGATGATGATGATGATGATGATGATGATGATGATGATGATGATGATGATGATGATGATGATGATGATGATGATGATGATGATGATGATGATGATGATGATGATGATGATGATGATGATGATGATGATGATGATGATGATGATGATGATGATGATGATGATGATGATGATGATGATGATGATGATGATGATGATGATGATGATGATGATGATGATGATGATGATGATGATGATGATGATGATGATGATGATGATGATGATGATGATGATGATGATGATGATGATGATGATGATGATGATGATGATGATGATGATGATGATGATGATGATGATGATGATGATGATGATGATGATGATGATGATGATGATGATGATGATGATGATGATGATGATGATGATGATGATGATGATGATGATGATGATGATGATGATGATGATGATGATGATGATGATGATGATGATGATGATGATGATGATGATGATGATGATGATGATGATGATGATGATGATGATGATGATGATGATGATGATGATGATGATGATGATGATGATGATGATGATGATGATGATGATGATGATGATGATGATGATGATGATGATGATGATGATGATGATGATGATGATGATGATGATGATGATGATGATGATGATGATGATGATGATGATGATGATGATGATGATGATGATGATGATGATGATGATGATGATGATGATGATGATGATGATGATGATGATGATGATGATGATGATGATGATGATGATGATGATGATGATGATGATGATGATGATGATGATGATGATGATGATGATGATGATGATGATGATGATGATGATGATGATGATGATGATGATGATGATGATGATGATGATGATGATGATGATGATGATGATGATGATGATGATGATGATGATGATGATGATGATGATGATGATGATGATGATGATGATGATGATGATGATGATGATGATGATGATGATGATGATGATGATGATGATGATGATGATGATGATGATGATGATGATGATGATGATGATGATGATGATGATGATGATGATGATGATGATGATGATGATGATGATGATGATGATGATGATGATGATGATGATGATGATGATGATGATGATGATGATGATGATGATGATGATGATGATGATGATGATGATGATGATGATGATGATGATGATGATGATGATGATGATGATGATGATGATGATGATGATGATGATGATGATGATGATGATGATGATGATGATGATGATGATGATGATGATGATGATGATGATGATGATGATGATGATGATGATGATGATGATGATGATGATGATGATGATGATGATGATGATGATGATGATGATGATGATGATGATGATGATGATGATGATGATGATGATGATGATGATGATGATGATGATGATGATGATGATGATGATGATGATGATGATGATGATGATGATGATGATGATGATGATGATGATGATGATGATGATGATGATGATGATGATGATGATGATGATGATGATGATGATGATGATGATGATGATGATGATGATGATGATGATGATGATGATGATGATGATGATGATGATGATGATGATGATGATGATGATGATGATGATGATGATGATGATGATGATGATGATGATGATGATGATGATGATGATGATGATGATGATGATGATGATGATGATGATGATGATGATGATGATGATGATGATGATGATGATGATGATGATGATGATGATGATGATGATGATGATGATGATGATGATGATGATGATGATGATGATGATGATGATGATGATGATGATGATGATGATGATGATGATGATGATGATGATGATGATGATGATGATGATGATGATGATGATGATGATGATGATGATGATGATGATGATGATGATGATGATGATGATGATGATGATGATGATGATGATGATGATGATGATGATGATGATGATGATGATGATGATGATGATGATGATGATGATGATGATGATGATGATGATGATGATGATGATGATGATGATGATGATGATGATGATGATGATGATGATGATGATGATGATGATGATGATGATGATGATGATGATGATGATGATGATGATGATGATGATGATGATGATGATGATGATGATGATGATGATGATGATGATGATGATGATGATGATGATGATGATGATGATGATGATGATGATGATGATGATGATGATGATGATGATGATGATGATGATGATGATGATGATGATGATGATGATGATGATGATGATGATGATGATGATGATGATGATGATGATGATGATGATGATGATGATGATGATGATGATGATGATGATGATGATGATGATGATGATGATGATGATGATGATGATGATGATGATGATGATGATGATGATGATGATGATGATGATGATGATGATGATGATGATGATGATGATGATGATGATGATGATGATGATGATGATGATGATGATGATGATGATGATGATGATGATGATGATGATGATGATGATGATGATGATGATGATGATGATGATGATGATGATGATGATGATGATGATGATGATGATGATGATGATGATGATGATGATGATGATGATGATGATGATGATGATGATGATGATGATGATGATGATGATGATGATGATGATGATGATGATGATGATGATGATGATGATGATGATGATGATGATGATGATGATGATGATGATGATGATGATGATGATGATGATGATGATGATGATGATGATGATGATGATGATGATGATGATGATGATGATGATGATGATGATGATGATGATGATGATGATGATGATGATGATGATGATGATGATGATGATGATGATGATGATGATGATGATGATGATGATGATGATGATGATGATGATGATGATGATGATGATGATGATGATGATGATGATGATGATGATGATGATGATGATGATGATGATGATGATGATGATGATGATGATGATGATGATGATGATGATGATGATGATGATGATGATGATGATGATGATGATGATGATGATGATGATGATGATGATGATGATGATGATGATGATGATGATGATGATGATGATGATGATGATGATGATGATGATGATGATGATGATGATGATGATGATGATGATGATGATGATGATGATGATGATGATGATGATGATGATGATGATGATGATGATGATGATGATGATGATGATGATGATGATGATGATGATGATGATGATGATGATGATGATGATGATGATGATGATGATGATGATGATGATGATGATGATGATGATGATGATGATGATGATGATGATGATGATGATGATGATGATGATGATGATGATGATGATGATGATGTGATGATGATGATGATGATGATGATGATGATGATGATGATGATGATGATGATGATGATGATGATGATGATGATGATGATGATGATGATGATGATGATGATGATGATGATGATGATGATGATGATGATGATGATGATGATGATGATGATGATGATGATGATGATGATGATGATGATGATGATGATGATGATGATGATGATGATGATGATGATGATGATGATGATGATGATGATGATGATGATGATGATGATGATGATGATGATGATGATGATGATGATGATGATGATGATGATGATGATGATGATGATGATGATGATGATGATGATGATGATGATGATGATGATGATGATGATGATGATGATGATGATGATGATGATGATGATGATGATGATGATGATGATGATGATGATGATGATGATGATGATGATGATGATGATGATGATGATGATGATGATGATGATGATGATGATGATGATGATGATGATGATGATGATGATGATGATGATGATGATGATGATGATGATGATGATGATGATGATGATGATGATGATGATGATGATGATGATGATGATGATGATGATGATGATGATGATGATGATGATGATGATGATGATGATGATGATGATGATGATGATGATGATGATGATGATGATGATGATGATGATGATGATGATGATGATGATGATGATGATGATGATGATGATGATGATGATGATGATGATGATGATGATGATGATGATGATGATGATGATGATGATGATGATGATGATGATGATGATGATGATGATGATGATGATGATGATGATGATGATGATGATGATGATGATGATGATGATGATGATGATGATGATGATGATGATGATGATGATGATGATGATGATGATGATGATGATGATGATGATGATGATGATGATGATGATGATGATGATGATGATGATGATGATGATGATGATGATGATGATGATGATGATGATGATGATGATGATGATGATGATGATGATGATGATGATGATGATGATGATGATGATGATGATGATGATGATGATGATGATGATGATGATGATGATGATGATGATGATGATGATGATGATGATGATGATGATGATGATGATGATGATGATGATGATGATGATGATGATGATGATGATGATGATGATGATGATGATGATGATGATGATGATGATGATGATGATGATGATGATGATGATGATGATGATGATGATGATGATGATGATGATGATGATGATGATGATGATGATGATGATGATGATGATGATGATGATGATGATGATGATGATGATGATGATGATGATGATGATGATGATGATGATGATGATGATGATGATGATGATGATGATGATGATGATGATGATGATGATGATGATGATGATGATGATGATGATGATGATGATGATGATGATGATGATGATGATGATGATGATGATGATGATGATGATGATGATGATGATGATGATGATGATGATGATGATGATGATGATGATGATGATGATGATGATGATGATGATGATGATGATGATGATGATGATGATGATGATGATGATGATGATGATGATGATGATGATGATGATGATGATGATGATGATGATGATGATGATGATGATGATGATGATGATGATGATGATGATGATGATGATGATGATGATGATGATGATGATGATGATGATGATGATGATGATGATGATGATGATGATGATGATGATGATGATGATGATGATGATGATGATGATGATGATGATGATGATGATGATGATGATGATGATGATGATGATGATGATGATGATGATGATGATGATGATGATGATGATGATGATGATGATGATGATGATGATGATGATGATGATGATGATGATGATGATGATGATGATGATGATGATGATGATGATGATGATGATGATGATGATGATGATGATGATGATGATGATGATGATGATGATGATGATGATGATGATGATGATGATGATGATGATGATGATGATGATGATGATGATGATGATGATGATGATGATGATGATGATGATGATGATGATGATGATGATGATGATGATGATGATGATGATGATGATGATGATGATGATGATGATGATGATGATGATGATGATGATGATGATGATGATGATGATGATGATGATGATGATGATGATGATGATGATGATGATGATGATGATGATGATGATGATGATGATGATGATGATGATGATGATGATGATGATGATGATGATGATGATGATGATGATGATGATGATGATGATGATGATGATGATGATGATGATGATGATGATGATGATGATGATGATGATGATGATGATGATGATGATGATGATGATGATGATGATGATGATGATGATGATGATGATGATGATGATGATGATGATGATGATGATGATGATGATGATGATGATGATGATGATGATGATGATGATGATGATGATGATGATGATGATGATGATGATGATGATGATGATGATGATGATGATGATGATGATGATGATGATGATGATGATGATGATGATGATGATGATGATGATGATGATGATGATGATGATGATGATGATGATGATGATGATGATGATGATGATGATGATGATGATGATGATGATGATGATGATGATGATGATGATGATGATGATGATGATGATGATGATGATGATGATGATGATGATGATGATGATGATGATGATGATGATGATGATGATGATGATGATGATGATGATGATGATGATGATGATGATGATGATGATGATGATGATGATGATGATGATGATGATGATGATGATGATGATGATGATGATGATGATGATGATGATGATGATGATGATGATGATGATGATGATGATGATGATGATGATGATGATGATGATGATGATGATGATGATGATGATGATGATGATGATGATGATGATGATGATGATGATGATGATGATGATGATGATGATGATGATGATGATGATGATGATGATGATGATGATGATGATGATGATGATGATGATGATGATGATGATGATGATGATGATGATGATGATGATGATGATGATGATGATGATGATGATGATGATGATGATGATGATGATGATGATGATGATGATGATGATGATGATGATGATGATGATGATGATGATGATGATGATGATGATGATGATGATGATGATGATGATGATGATGATGATGATGATGATGATGATGATGATGATGATGATGATGATGATGATGATGATGATGATGATGATGATGATGATGATGATGATGATGATGATGATGATGATGATGATGATGATGATGATGATGATGATGATGATGATGATGATGATGATGATGATGATGATGATGATGATGATGATGATGATGATGATGATGATGATGATGATGATGATGATGATGATGATGATGATGATGATGATGATGATGATGATGATGATGATGATGATGATGATGATGATGATGATGATGATGATGATGATGATGATGATGATGATGATGATGATGATGATGATGATGATGATGATGATGATGATGATGATGATGATGATGATGATGATGATGATGATGATGATGATGATGATGATGATGATGATGATGATGATGATGATGATGATGATGATGATGATGATGATGATGATGATGATGATGATGATGATGATGATGATGATGATGATGATGATGATGATGATGATGATGATGATGATGATGATGATGATGATGATGATGATGATGATGATGATGATGATGATGATGATGATGATGATGATGATGATGATGATGATGATGATGATGATGATGATGATGATGATGATGATGATGATGATGATGATGATGATGATGATGATGATGATGATGATGATGATGATGATGATGATGATGATGATGATGATGATGATGATGATGATGATGATGATGATGATGATGATGATGATGATGATGATGATGATGATGATGATGATGATGATGATGATGATGATGATGATGATGATGATGATGATGATGATGATGATGATGATGATGATGATGATGATGATGATGATGATGATGATGATGATGATGATGATGATGATGATGATGATGATGATGATGATGATGATGATGATGATGATGATGATGATGATGATGATGATGATGATGATGATGATGATGATGATGATGATGATGATGATGATGATGATGATGATGATGATGATGATGATGATGATGATGATGATGATGATGATGATGATGATGATGATGATGATGATGATGATGATGATGATGATGATGATGATGATGATGATGATGATGATGATGATGATGATGATGATGATGATGATGATGATGATGATGATGATGATGATGATGATGATGATGATGATGATGATGATGATGATGATGATGATGATGATGATGATGATGATGATGATGATGATGATGATGATGATGATGATGATGATGATGATGATGATGATGATGATGATGATGATGATGATGATGATGATGATGATGATGATGATGATGATGATGATGATGATGATGATGATGATGATGATGATGATGATGATGATGATGATGATGATGATGATGATGATGATGATGATGATGATGATGATGATGATGATGATGATGATGATGATGATGATGATGATGATGATGATGATGATGATGATGATGATGATGATGATGATGATGATGATGATGATGATGATGATGATGATGATGATGATGATGATGATGATGATGATGATGATGATGATGATGATGATGATGATGATGATGATGATGATGATGATGATGATGATGATGATGATGATGATGATGATGATGATGATGATGATGATGATGATGATGATGATGATGATGATGATGATGATGATGATGATGATGATGATGATGATGATGATGATGATGATGATGATGATGATGATGATGATGATGATGATGATGATGATGATGATGATGATGATGATGATGATGATGATGATGATGATGATGATGATGATGATGATGATGATGATGAT